GCCCTGGCATTTAATAAGCAGGAGCCAGGGATGCTAAGAGCAATCCTATACAATGAAGATAACATCCTTCCCCTTGAGAAATATGGCGAGCTCCTTTGTTGAAATTCCCTCAGGAAGGCATAACAAATTGAGTTTATTCAGTATAGGGGCTTGTATTGGATTCACCGACAATCTTAGTAAGTTGTGTTTTCTCGGTCAGTTTTTTGGTACGTGCTTTATGCTAGATAAACATGCAGATACTCATAGGAACGATATTCCTCAACTGCTAAGTTGTCATCTGGGATTGAATGAACCAAAGGGTTGGGAGGAGAAGTGGAGAATGCTGTTTGAAAGACCAGAGTGTGCTTAAAGGAAGCTTGATTACAAAGAGAAGAGGTTATTTTTAGATCTTCATTATTTAGGGTCTAGGTAATCTTTACTGAATAGGAGATAATGAATAGGAGCGATTGTTCTCATTGTCTTTCTTTTTGTTCTGGAGTTCTTCAACATGTACAACAGGGCAGCTCCCAATAACACATCCTCGAATCTCTCCAAAGAGCTGTGAGATTCTGTTCTTCAGCTGCATCAAGCAGTCACGCCCAGCCATCTGCCCTGTTTCATTAAGTCCCTGTGAAAGGGACGAGGTTGGGCCCAAGGACACCCATTGGCAGAACTGGTCTCAACCACACTTTCCTGCTTTAGGATCTGATAGTTCTTCTGAGGCTGTTTGACTGTGCCCCAAGTCTTCCAAAGATGTAACACTTAAGTCTGAAAGGACAATGTGTGGACCATATATATTTTAGCTCAAAACCTCCAAATGGAATCAGTTTAATATGTGTTTTCTTGAGAAATATGTAAATTAATAATTGCTTCATACATTATTCAAGAAAAACTTATTTTGTATCACTGATAGCTCTTCTAATCTTATATAAAGATATGCTAATGGATTTAATTAAAATAATTATACTGAATAATGTAGCCTGAACTTTACCCTAAAATAGTATCTATTAATCATCATCCGTAGTAATATTTTTAGCCAGAGAGACACTTACAACATTCAACCAATGCTAGATAGGGAATACATTTTTTGTTTTGTTTTACAGTTTGGATTAAGTTGGCGTTCTCATGAGATGCATTGACAATTAAGTTTGCTTAGAGGAGAGTATAAAAATTATTTAATTTTTTTGAACCTGAGTTATTTCAGTAATTACAAAACTTTTAGCATTCGCCGCCATTTTCATAATCCTTTTGTGTGCTTCATTTTTCCCCCTAAAACTTTGATTTCAGTTTCTTTGGGAGCCCAGCTCTGCTCCAGCTCTCACCTGCCTTGGTTAAGAAAGGTGGCCCAGGGGGGTGAGGTGACAACGGGCCATAAAAGGTGTGTTGTGTTTGTCATTGTCACCTTCGTCCTTGTGAAATGGTATTTTTAAAGTTCCTACTGGCAAACGATGCTTTGTTGGGTCCAGGATAAAACACACGAAGCTGATCCGTCCTTTACCCTCTGGACATTCACGAACTAAACTTGACCCTTTTAGAGTCCGAGCAGGCAGCCTAGCGGACGCTTATTATTAAATGTCAAGGTAATATTTTTTAGGCTTTCAAAGCCACTCTGAGGTAGTCGAAGCAGATCATTAAATCAGAGTGAAATTATTTCTACTTAATGCCCTTTTTAAAGGTTGTATCTCAAAGCAGATACACTGCAGTCCCATTCTGTGGCCAGCACCGGAAGATAGGACTAATACCTAGAAAAAAACAACAATGATAATTTTGTGGTGGAGATTGAAGGGGTAAAAAAGGCTTACCTGTCCTTTATCGTCTTGTCTCTAAGGAGCTGTAGTTTCTGATGAGTGTGGTGGCTTCACAAAGCTCGCTTTGGAGATGTTCAGACTGAGCTAGTTCAAACCTTAGCCCCAAGTCCTACTATAGAGAATCTGGGCAAATTACTTCCTCTTTTGTGCCTCCACTTTCTCATCTGTGAAAGGGGGTAATAATAGAGCTCCCTCATGAGGTTGTCATGAGGATTTAATGTGTCAGTAGAGGAGAGAGCTAGGGAAGTTTCCGGATGCACAAGAGATTTACGTCTTACAGACAGGAGACTTGAACTCAGTGCAAGTGTCCTGAATCTGGCCACTGAGCTCATAAGTGGCCGAGTTGGGAACCAGGCCTGGCATTCTCCCAGGTGTTTTCTGTGCATATCTACCTGTGTCATATGTTTTTATTCATTTTTAAAATTAAAGTATAATTTACCTACAGTAAAACCCACTTTTCCTTATTGGACACTTCTAGTTTTGACAAACACATGCAGTCATGTAATCATTGGCTTAACCAACGTATGGAGCAGTTTTCAACCCACGTGTATAGTATTCTCACCCAACACATAGACAGTTCTCAACCAACATATAGAGCAGTTCTCACCCAACATATAGACAGTTCTTAACCCACATATAGAGCAGTTCTCGCCCAACATATATACAGTTCTCAACCAACATATAGAGCAGTTCTCATCCAATATATAGAGCAGTTGTCACCCAACATATAGAACAGTTCTTAACCCATATATAGAGCAGTTCTCACCCAACATATAGACAGTTCTCAACCAACATATATAGCAGTTCTCATCCAATATATAGAGCAGTTGTCACCCAACATATAGAACAGTTCTCAACCAACATATAGACAGTTCTCACCCAACATATAGAGCAGTTCTCACCCAACATATAGAGCAGTTCTCAACCAATATATAGACCAGTTCTCAACCAACATATAGAACAGTTCTCACTCAACATATAGAGAGTTCCCAACCAATATATAACATTTCTTACCCAACATATGGAATATTTCTCATCCAACATATAGAGCAGTTCTCAACCAGTATGGAACAGTTCTTGCCCAACATACGGAACAGTTCTCACCCAAAATATAGAGCATTTCTCAACCAACACATAGACAGTTCTCAACTGACATATATAGCCGTTCTATTCGCCCCTTAACTTTCTCCAACTCCTCCAGCTGCTGGCCACTAACCATCTGTTCTCCATCTCTATACTTTTACTTTTCACACAATGTTATAAAAATGGAATCATATAGTGTATAGCATTTTGAGAAAGCCTTGTTTTACTTATCAGAGTATATTTTAGTTTCATCCCTGTTGAGTGTATTTGTGATTTATTCGTTTTTTGCTCAGTGGTGTTCCATGGTATGGTTGATCATAGCTAGTTCGTCCATTCACCTCTTGAGGACATTTGGGTTGTTTCCATTTTTTAGTGATTACAAATAAAGCCATTAAGGTATTCACGTACAGCGTTTTGTGTGAACAAATATTTTCTTTTCACTTGGGTAAATACCTAAGAGGGGGTTGCTATGTCATATAAAAATTGTATCTCTAATTTTATAAGAAACTGCCAAACTCTTTTCCAAAGTTGCTGAACTATTTTAACATTCAGGTCAATAATATATGTAAACAGCGCTGGGTATTGTCAGGTTTGTTTTTTTTTTTTTAAATTTTGTTCTGTTTTGCTTTTTTCCCCTTTATTCTTTGTTTTGTGTTTTTGCTTATTAGCAATCCTAACATGGCTACCATGAGTAGACCTTACGGCAACTAACAACAGCACAATAAGTGTGTAGTGGTATCTCATTGTGGTTTTAATTTGTATTTTCCTGATGACTAATGATTCTGAGCACCTTTTCAAGTGCTTATTTGCCACCCATATATCTTCTTTGGTGAAGTGTCTATTCAAGTCTTTTGCTCATTTTTTGGGGGGAGGTTATTTGTTTTCTTATTATTGAGTTTTAAGAGTTCTTTCATTCTGTATAAGGAGATATGCTTGGTGATAACCTAAGGGTCTGCGGTTCGAACCCATCATCAGCTTTGTGGGAGAAAGATGTTACAGTCCGCTTCCATAAAGATTACAGGAAACCCTATGGGGCAGTTCTCTTCTGTCCTGTAGGATCACTGAGTCAGAATCAACTGGATGGCCATGGGTTTGGTTTGGGGCTTTCTGAAAGCAATGACAACAATTTCTTCTGCAACAATTGTAGTATTTTCCAGTGTTCAAAGTGTTTTTCTGTCCTCTTCTTAATTTGATTTTGAGCTTTGTGGAAACCGCTTGAGGCATTTGGTATGAGTGTTATTTCCCTGTTTCATTCAGGAAGTGGAGCCCAGCCTGCTACCACAAGTTGATGTTATTCAGAGATAGAAGGGCAGAACCAGGGTCAGAATACTTAAAATCCAGGACTTTTCCCAGCAGGATATGGCTGAAGGCACCGTGCTGTGGCTTCACAACAAACTGAAATTTTAATTCTAGCTCTGTTAGGTACTAGCTTTGTGATCAGGGTCAAAGTAATTAATGTTTCTATTGTCAGTTTCCTCTCCTTCCAAAACAGCTAACTCCCAGCTCCCCGTAGGAGTAGCGTCAGAATTAAAGACAAAATATTCAGAGGTCTTAGCACAGCGCCCAGTGTGTAATAGGATCTATTACTATGACTCCACCTTTCGAGGGTGCGTGTTTTCTGGAAGATACAGAATATCATTACAGAAGGTAAAGCTACTAAAAAAGAAAATGATTCTTAGTTAAGGGGTATAGCAATGCAGGAAGACATTTTTGGAATGGAGCAAAGATGATCATTTCAATTGGTGGATTGAGGTGGAGCTGCTGTGAATCCAGTGGAAGGGATTTCTTCTGCAAGGGCAGGTCTTGACTTGCTGTAGCTTTGCCAGGACGGAAGGAGGAAATCACTGAAGCATCCCAGCATGGTCTAGCCACTTGGTCAGTAGACGGGGAACGTTGGCTTCCGCTCACGTTATGTGTCAAAATAACCACGGAGGAAATCACCATCCTTTGAGAATCAGAGATTTCTTTTCCCCTTGCTGTCTTTTCCTCATATTTAGCCACCAGTCCATCATCCTGAAGTGATCTTTCTCTTTTTGATGATTTTGTGGCTCTTCATTGTAACTGTAAGTTTGTGTTAACATTAGCCAACCCGTATAAGGCCCAACTTTCTTCTTTGTTTTTTTTTTTTAGGGGGCAGCGCTGAAGTACTTGCCAACGATTGTCAATGACGTGAAGTTGGTATTTGATCCCAAAGAGCTCAGGTAAGGGGCACCTGGAGCAAGCACTTCCCATGGGCCACACTTGGCCTCCTTTCCCGCGTGTTCAGTTTATGTGAGGTGTGTGGTCCTATCTAATGCGCGCAAGTGTCAGCGCCCCCGATCATTCCGGGGGACGTGCGGCTGCTGATGTCTGTGGCACTGTGATAATCATGACTTTATACAGAAAAGAAATCCATCAACAGTCAAAGTGTTTTCTTTAGAATAGTGTTCATAGCCCACTGGGTACATAATGCAAATTTGGCATTTTGCATATTTTGGGATTTAAATTTTAATACGTGGTTGCTGATTTTTGGTTTTGTTTTGAATACCTGAAAAACTTAACGCAGGTGCTTTAATATTCTCGTCTCCACCCCCCTTCTGTGACACGCAGCTCTTCTCTTCCCAAGCTCCTAACTAAGGGGGTGTAAGCCTCAGGCAGAAGACTTAGAAGTTGTGGGGTTAGAAAAGAGTAAAGGAAAACACATGTGGGGAAGCTGGTTGGTGGGCTTGCAGACTGAGGAGTGAGGTGGGGACCAAGTCCTTCGTTTACCTCCCAGTGTTCCCACCCCTCACCGTCCAAACCTAGCGTTCATTGTTTCCTCTGTGGATGTTACTGTATTCCGACAAGGGCTCTCGTAGGGGAAGGGAAGTGTAGCTTTCTTCACCCCAGACATCCAAGAACACAGCCCTCATCTGCTTTTGTTTTGCTCTTGGTTTGGCATTTGACACAATAAACTGCCTCCTGGGGGATGGCACCATCTTCCCCAGCCAAAAAAGGCTTCCTAAATATTACTAACGAGCCATCTGTGCTGGGTGGTTTAACTGAGTGAATAATGACCCTCCCTCCTACACTTTACGCCCGCCATAGTTCACTCGTGACCTGGCGTCGGAGGGCGAGGGGCTCTCGGCGGGGCACTCTCCGCTGTGGATCATCCGGTCTTTGATGTGTCTGAGGATTTAGTGTCATGCAGGGATACACTTACTTCCTGCTCTCGGAGCACTGACAAGGTGAAATATGGATTAGCAGGCCCTAAGCAAGGAAAGGAAAGACCAAGCTGATCGTCCAAGGGCTGTGTCTGCCCACTGGGCATTTGTTGCCTTCTCTCTGGAGATGGTTCTCCGTGGATCGTTGCAGAATGGCAGGCTCAGCAGCCCCTGGGAACATGCTAGAAAAGCAGAGTCTGGGGTTACTCCACAGACCTTCTAGGTTAGAAGCTGGGAGTGGGCCTGGCCATCTGGGTTTTAAGGAGCTTTCCTCATGCCTGTGCTGTGCGCTGATGTCTGAGTCCCTCAACCCTGGAGGAGCCTGGGAGGAAGTGGGGACGCTGCAGGCCTGGGACGATGGCCATTCTCTGGGTCTGCCCCTCTGTTGGGCACAAGGACCTGCACGTTCATTGCCTGTTAGTGGGTTGCAGTGTGTTCTTACCATTGGTGCTCGAGCCTCTTGGCTGTCGGTGCCAGTCTGCTCTTTATGGGTGTATGTGCCCCTACAAGACCCTCTGTGTGCATTAAGAAGATGAGATTAACAATCATGCGTGTACTTTTTCCTATTTATAAAATTGGTTCATGTTTCAAAAAACAGAAGAGCTCACAGAAGAGAATAAATGTCAAACTTAATGCCACTACCCCAAAATAATGAGAAGGATCTGGAGCCTTCTCGTTTTTCTTGCACACACACACACAGACACACACACACCCCTACCAATAAAATTCAACACTGTATTCGATATTTTGCCATTAATGCTTGAACATGCGACATCTTGTTTTCCCAAGTAACGAAGTGGTCCTCTGCATCATAATTTTTAATCACTTGCATGACGCTCCATCCTATGCTGGAACATCATTTATTCAAGCAGCAACAATAGATGCTGACATCTATTATGTGCTTCCTCCATACAAAATAGACTTTACGCAGAGTACTTTCCACATACTATTCAGTTAATCTTTACAACAATGCTGTGACATAGCTTCTATTATTAGCCCAGTTCTATGCTAAATACCTTGTCCATGGTGACTCAGCTGGAGGGGACAGGGCTTCGATGCCAACCTGGGCTTCAGCTGGGTGTTAGGTTGTCTCCAGTTTTTATTGTTATAAAATATGCTGGGATAAAATTTATTGTAGCCTAATTGTTATTAATATCATTAATATGAGTAATATTAAATTATTTATACCATTAGGATAAACACAGAAGTGGAGTTGCTGGGCCATGCATTTTCTTAAAAGGCTCTTAGTAGATATTATCAAATTGCTCTTCACAAAGGTCAAACCAATATTCTACCAGTGTGTAGAATACTGAGAATTATCATCTTATAGAATCTCACCAATGGAGCCCTGGCCGCACAGTGGTTAAGAGTTCAGCTGCCAACCAAGAGGTCGGCAGTTTGAATCCACCAGCCGCTCCTTGGAAACCTTATGGGGCAGTTCTACTCTGTCCTGTGGGGTCAATATGAGTTGGAATCGACTTGATGGCGACAAGTTTTTTCTGTTGTTGCTGTTATTGCCAATGTGATTGGTGGAACAGTATCCCATCATTTTAGTTTTGCATTTCTTTGTTTACTAACAAGAATGCTTCTTCCAACATTCCTTCATAGGTTTATTGCCCATTTGTAAAAATAATATTTTTAAAAATCGCTTTATTGAGACATTATTCATATGCCATAAAGTTCACCTGTTTAGTGCGTTCAAGTCAATGGTTTTGGTATCTGTACGTAGTTGTGCCACCAGCTCCATAATCCGATTTTAGAACATTTTCATCATCCCAGTAAGTTTCCTTGTGCCCATTACCAGTCACTCCGCATCCCCATCCACAGCCCAGGACAACCGCTAATCTATATTCTATATCTATAGACTTGCCTTTTCTGGGCATTTCGTATAAATGGGATCGTCCAATGTGTAACTTTTCTGACTGGCTTCTTTAACATAGCATAATGTTCTCAAGGCTCCTCCCACATTGTAGCATATATCATACTTTATTAATTTATTTTATGGCTGAATAATACCGCATTGTATGGATATACCCATGATGGACATTTGGGTTATTTCCACATTTTGGATATTCTGAATAATGCTGCTATGATTCATGTACAAGATTTTGTGTGGACATATGTTTCCATTTTTCCTGGGTATATACCTAGGAGTGGAATTGCTGGGTCTTATGGTGACTATGTTTAACTATATTATAAAGATATTGCATGTTGTTGGATGAAATTTTGAGGAAATGACAAACTTTTCCTGAGTAGCTGCACTGTTTTATATTCCTGATTTTGTGCTAAATAACAGTAATGTATGAAGTTTCCAATTTCTCCACAGCCTCACCAATACTTATTGTCTGTCCTTTGAATTATAACCATTCTGATATGTGTGAAGTGAAAAATAATATTTTAAAACATTTTGTTGGATGAAATTTCATCCATATTATCTTGGTACTGTCTTGTAATAGCGTTGGGTAATTTTGTTGCTTGAGTGCATCTCTAAATTCATTTGCTTGTGTATTTTCTCATAGCAAAATGTTTACTGAATTCATCCTCAATGTTCCCCTGGGCTTGCTGACCATTCAGAAGCTGTATTGCTTGATTGAAATCATTCACAGTGATCTCTTCATACAGCATGGTGAGTGGAACCCCAGACTCATGAAATTGTCATTTTATTCATTGTCTGCATAACTTGACCCCTCTGAATTCTCCCTTCCTTGCTGGAAGGAGTGGAGGTTCGACCAATTAAAACATCTCCATTATGAGACAGTAAGATTTAGCCCTTACAAGAGAATGGTAATTGACATAGTGCAGGTAATAGATCATTGGGAAATGAAGACAGAACCTCGTGGTTTGTATTTTAGGTGTCCACCGAAGCCCGAGGATAATCAGCACACATTGTTGCTCTTAAAACGGGTGATTGTCTGCCCTGGGAAAGCAATTGCCTGTTTCCGTTGAGGTGATTGCAAAGAAAAAATTCAAGTTTTCTTTACATTTAGAAGTCATTTTTCTGTCTTACCCTGAACTTTGCATTCTTTGACAAGGGTTCCTTCAAACTCTACTCCAAGTAATGAGAATTTTAATGATTCCTCAACTCATTTATCCTGAGGAACACCTTCTGTTCCCCCACTTTATCTCTCCACCCTTTTTATTAATCATTTTCTTTCTATTTGGACAGATTGAATTAATATTTTACACTTGTCAAGTACTTTTATTGAAAGCTTAAAACCTTTGCATAATTCCACAATCTTCCTCATTTATTGGAGGCAAAGGCAAAGACTTGAGTGACATTCTGACTGAGGGTGTAGATTTAGTCTGTTCGTTTATGTGCAGCTCTTGGCTGATCTGTTCATTTCCTTTTGCCCTTGTGTGTTGGTTTGTTTGTAATTCCCTGTGCTTTTCCAAGGATGGAGCAGCCCGGGACCAGGACGTCCCCACTGAGTTTCTGACTGGACTAGGAGCTCAGTTTATGTCTGGCTTAGTTCTTTGTACCCTTTGTACTCCTGGGACTGTGTTTGTCTGTTGGTTTTAATCTTATTTCTTGATTTAACTTTGTAAAATGTACTTGTCTATGCTTATGGCTAATACTTATGTTAGGAGAAGATGTTAAGACTTTATTTGGTCGCAGCGTTCCTCTCGAGGAAAAACTAAAACCAAGAAGTGGTTGGTTTTCTACAGACCTCGCTCTGGACCGGAAGCCCCTACTTCACATTTCATACAAACAAGTCAACTCTGTTTGCATTGTCTGAGATTCAAAGCCAGTGAATCTTGTTTGAGGCATGAATCTAGACTGTGTGTAAGCCTCCCACCTGAGGCTGAGTCTTGAGTGTCTTGCTCTGCAGATACTTTCCAAACCTTGTAGAATACAAGTGGGACTTAAGGAAGGGCTAATGGTGAAGGTGATGGCGGGGACACTGCCTTGTGTTTTCTTCTCTTATTGACTAAACTTTACACCAAAACAAAAGAAAACAAAAAACCAAACCCATTGCCATCGAGTCGATTCTGACTCACAGTGACCCTATAAGACAGAGAAGAACTGCCCCATAGGGTTTCCAAGGAGCCGCTGGTGGATTCGAACTGCTGACCTTTTGGTTAGCAGACGAGCTCTTAAGCATTAGGTAAAATCACCTGAAAGCTTTATATCTTGGTCTTATTAGGTTACTGGTGTCCCAGCTCCCACCCATCCAACCCTAAGTCACACACGTGTGCATGGGTGCGCGCACACACACACCTAAACATCCCATCACCACCACCACCACCAGTGCCTTCACTGAATTAACCAGTGTCCGTGGATTGAGCTGGACTTTTATCGAGGGCTGAAGTAAGGAAGACTTTCTTGAGCACATGTTTGCTTGTATTTCAAAATTTCCATTGTAAAACTTTATTCAGCTTGTTGTTTAGTTGGCTTTGAATAAGCGCTGAAGATGTAAAATGTTCAATTAAAAATACTTTATATGTAAATTCCCTTAAGAAATAGTTCAAGGAAAAAACAGTTTCTCTGTTGAAACATACTCTATTTCTTTAGCTAACAGAAAGCTTGACGGGAAACGCACTATTTTTTGGTGATTTTGTTATCCTCAGTACTCAGTGACTGTTCTTCTCTTTCTCAGCTTTGTTTGCACGCTCCTGGTCTACAAGTCTTTTATTATAGACTACCTCATATTCTATTCCAGGAGTCTGCAACATGTCAATAAATAATTATAAAAGCAGTTGCCATTCAGTCGACTCCGACTCATGGCGACCCCACATGTGTCAGACTAGAACTGTGCTCCACAGGCTTTTCAATGGATGATTTTTCAGAAGTAGATCACCAGGCCTTTCTTCTGAGGTGACCTGTGGGTGGACTCAAACTTCCAACCTTTCAGTTAGTAGCTGAGTGCTTAAACATTTGGACTATCCAGGAACTTGAAATAAATGCTTAGCTTTCTTTAATAAGGAGCCCTGGTGGCACAGTGGTTAAGAGCTATGGCTGCTGACCAAAAGGTCAGCAGTTCGAATCCACCAACTGCTCCTTAGAAACCCTATGGGGCAGTTCAACTCTGTCCTGTAGGGTCGCTGTGAGTTGGAATCAACTTGATGGCAACGGGTTTTTTTTTTTT